GGAAAACAATAAAGTTAGGCATGAGCCCGTCAAAAAAAAAATATATATATATATATATATAATCAAATCAATATAATTATTTTAAAAAATAAAACTCAGATAATTAAATCCAAAACAAAATCTAAGTATACTTGCTATTTTAACAATAATCAAAACATAATTAAAAAATTTTTTTGATAAAAGAATTTGCAAAGCTAGACGTGTGAAATCCTTGAAACAAAACCCTTCAATTATACGTTTTATTAAAGTATAGAATATATTCAGATCATCTAAATATGCAAAGGTTTTATGTAATAAGCGGAATAGGAAAAAGGGGAAAATATTCGTTAGATTCATAGTGGCAAATGTTTGGCACGATATATTGCGGTTAGATTTCTTACAGTATAAGCTGTAAATGTTGTTTCGTGATAAGTTTGTAATCAGTTTGCAATCGGGTGATTATTGTCTATTGAACGTTTTTACTTATAGAAACTCTAGAATTAGTTTTATCATTGATGGAAAGCTATGAAGAATTTTCACTTGGATTATTTGACTCGTTTGCGGAGTAGATCTAGAAACATGAGACAAGAGCGTCGATGGTAGGTATCTTCTTTTCTTAAACCATACGTATTCAAGGAATTGATTAGGACATTATTAACTCTAGTCTCCTGACAGCGAAACGAATCCAATAATTTATCCAGTATTCTGGCAGTGACCTGCACAAACATATATCATCGCTTAAAGTCAAAATAACTCCGACATTTATAAAAGTAGTTTCAAAATTCAAATTCAACATTTTATTTCGACGTATTCAAATAGAGACTTGAAATGTCGTGAACATTGAATTAGAAGATATGGTGCACTAGAGTTTTACTTCTGCGAATCCAATTCTTTTATTTCCAACGTCGAATATTGTGTAGACATTCCTAAGGAAAGACTCTCCAAGTACCCAGAACTTTGGACCATTTTTTCCTACAGCCATAATGGAAGAGTAACAAAGTGGCGTATCGTTAGGACCTAGCTCTTCACTAAATCCAAATACAAGGTCTCTCGCATCTATCGTGTAAGCAACGTCGCCAAATTTGAAAGCAACAGTAACATCTGTGTTACAGGGAATGAGAAAGTCTCCTTCACCGGTTGATTTGGAATA